CATACATTGCATAGTACCATACCATTGGGTGTTAGACCAATATGACTGACATGTTTATTCAACCACAATCATCAGTGCCTATGCGTTCTTTAAATAGTGTACATGTACCTGTACATATATAATCCCCCCCACCAACCTATCACCCAGTGGCAAATTCTTGTGGCACTTTTGTGGTTTGTCATGTCACCATTTTATCACCTGGTAGGGTGGCATGATTGACATGTTTGTGCATGGCAAAGATAATGGTTACAGCCCTCACAGCTAATAGGCCATAAGATGTCCCCCATTATGCAAGTGTCATAACATTAGTGAGTGACAGATGGCATTGTAATGCCACCATGTGTCATTTACATGTACATTGTGCAATGTACATGAGTGTGGAACTTTATAACAGGCAGGGACAAGGTACAGTACATGTACTTGTACATGTATCAGTAATGTACATTTTCATTGTAAAGTGGACATGTGGGACTGGCAGCGGGACATGTGCTCGTACAAGTGTGCATATTTACCGGTATGTACTGTGTACATGTACAATATACATGTACATGTATCAGTACATTTGATAAGGAACCCAGACCCAGCTACCATACTGGTATACATGTACAAGTACATCTCAGTACTGTTCTTGGGTTATAAGTATGTGCGCATACATGTACATGTACACTCTACGTACGTACCCGATAGGAGTTGTGTTTGTACACCCTTCCTTTATACTGATGTTGTATTGTTAAATCTCAAAACTTTTCCAAGAATGCCTCTAGTCTCAGCCACTGGGTATACAGGTACTGATATTTACCTGTTCTTCTTCATTTATGTATTAACAAAGTACAGGTACATGTACAATGTAAGTTTATTCTCATCGTGCGTGGCCCAGGACTGTTGTAAGTGGAGCTGTTTGGACTTCTGTAGAAAGAAAGAAGTACATGTCCATTGTACACCATGCTGGGCCGTTTTCCAATACTCAACTTCGGCTCTGTCTCAGGCTTCAACTTTTTTTTTTTACTAGCTGACTTTGAAGCTGTAAGCGCAGTAATCAGTCTAACAGTGCCACAAAACATCAAATAAGATGAAAGAAAGCCCAAAATGACAGTAATCCAATGTAATTTAAATGCTTCAGGCCCACATTCGGGGAATGGTTTTGGGAACGAAGCCGGAGACGGAGACGAAGTTGAGTATTGGAAAACGGCCCTGGTATTTTTGGCTGTGAAACCAGTTGGATTCATATTAAAAGAGTGGTACTGTGGAAGCTTGAATGACCGACGGAAGAAAACCTGCCTAAAGAAGGTAGTGAAGACATGTTCCGGTCGTATGGGTGGGAAGAAAGCCCCAAATGAATCTTGAATTTCGGGAAAACCCAGAGTCAGGTTGGACTGACTGAAATCCTGCTGGAATGACAGTCTGCCTTGGTTCAATTTGAACGCAGGGTCAGTGAGGCAGAGGGCCAGGAAAGTGCCAATTTTAAACCAAGCTGACTCCCCCAAATTTATGGTCAAGCTACAGATGTACGAGGTCAAGGTCGTATATGTAAATGAAATGGTAGAATAAACTTTGACCTCTCAGCCCCTCCCCAATATCTATATCTTATCTTTTGGCCCCCCCCAGTGTATTAGCAAGGTGTTCCAGCACTGCATGCTTTGTACATTTAAACCTGCACTTAAGCTCATGTCGTCAAAGCGTGCCAAAACCTGCACTTGGTTCATGTTGTCAAAGCGTGCTACCGACAGGACCTACATGGCTCAGTACAAGATATTTTTTCACTCATGTTTGTTGTGATAGTCACCTCTTGTTGCCTTAAGCTGAGGTTTCAGGCAAACAAACATTGATCCTTCTGTCACTGTTATTGTAAAGTGATCCTAAAGACATCAGAGGGGCGAGGCAGGGGTTCTAGCTGGTTGCCAAGTTCAGCCAACAGAGTAGCAAGGCCCACAGTGTACCGGTAGATGTATATGTGCATGTGTACACTCTACATGTACAGTATTGTGCAGGTATGCACAAGGGTCCCTTGCTTAGTGTTTTTTTAACCACCAGTATGGTACCATTTCTGTGTACATGTACATCTATCAGTATGTACGTCCCCACAATCAAATATTCCTTTTAAATGCTTCAATTTGCTACAGATTATTACACATTAAACAGTCCTCCTGTTTGAGTAACTTATCAGGAAATCCACTTGGAGACCTTGTTCCTTTACAATTGTCCTGTGGAGATCTTTTCAACCCATTCTCTAGGGTTTCCACGAGGCACTGTATTCGAGCACTTATTAACCCCTTTGCACCAGGAGGCGGCTATAGCCGCCGTAAAAATTGAGATCCTCTGCCCGCTTTTCAGCTATTATTTTCGGCCCACGCTGGCTTCACAACTGCTGGCTTCACTTCTAATTTTAACCAAAAATTGAAATTGGAAATTAAATAGAGGAGCTACAGCGTGCAAAAAAAGGACAAATTTTAATCAGAGTTTCTTATTTAAGAAAATGAGTTTCCAAAATAAACAGCACCCTCACTCATTTATGCGTGTCCCTATTTTGGCAAAAGTTCCTTTTGTTTTAGGCCCGCAGGATAAATGCCCAACTGAGAACAACTCGCAAGTTGATAACCCCTTGTCAATGTCACCTTGTGTCGTTTCTTTGTTCTTCATTCCCATTTCACACCATTTGTGTATGAAGAAAAACTACGTATTGGCTCTGTCAGGGTTTTTGTGAAGGTACATTCCTGTGGAATGGAGCATCAGATTCTGCATTCATGTAAATGAATAAATGTAAATGTACTGTAAATACATGGGGACTCTGCAATACTTTGTACGGCCCATGCGCTGTCCAATACTTCTGCATGTCAAGTGTGTATACAATAAACATGTCCTGTACATGTACATAATCGGCGTTCTAACCGGTGCAAGCTTGAAAGTGCTGTACATACTGGGTTCCATATTGTAATTTTTGTGGGTAACTCGGCCTGTTAGGCAAAAATACCAAAAAAAGACAGTCACATGTTCCAATAAGCCATTTGCAAGTTAAATTTGAATAAAATCTGGTGCTCTGAGTTATCTGACTGCAGATAAACATTATGATTTAAATTCCCCAGACTAAAGACACTGTTGCCATACCTTGTGATTCAGGGCAAGCTTTTGCATAGCGACCACCATCTCTGGAATGGACTGGTTCCTTTGTGCCCTTCTTATCCATTGAGAACAGTGTATTGTTGCAAGGCGTCTCATGTAACTACATGTAAGCAAAAGCTTGCCCTGAATCACGAGGTATAGCAACAGTGGTTTTAACAAAGAGAATTCAAGTTTTTATTTTCACGTGAATTTAAAGAACTCAGTGTACCAGATTTGGGTCAAAGTTAACTTGCAAAAGGCTTATTTCTGAGGTTAATCTAACATGGAAAAGTCAGCACGCCCATAAGGTTGCACAGATGTGCTCAGAAAACACTGTGTCTATACACACGGACATGTTGTACCTGTTCTCTATCCCGGACCACATTCTACCCTTTTCATCCCTCTGTCCTCCATTGCAGTTCAATAACCCGCACTAAATTTCTTCCTTTTTTTTTCTCATTGTAAACATTGCAGAACATGCAAAGCAGTGAGCTGATAGTGACGGACCACGTCCTGACCAGCGAGGAGCTGAATGAACTCCGGATGAACAGCGGCTGGGAGGATAGCATCAAGCGCACCCAGAAAATCATTCAGGTAACCATGGCAACCGGCATGTAACCGTGGCAACCAATACCACCTCATCTGCCGGCTGCTGGTTGAGGCAGTGCCCAACTGCAGGCCATTGGTTCTGTTTTTTCAAATCTTAGCTTTGGCCTCGTCTGTATCTTTGATCTTAACCCCCCTGACCTAAAGTTTTGAACTCATGTAGGAGGTGGCATGTTCATTGCAAATGTGCACGATCAGTTTTCAACCAAATCTGAACAAATACACAGTCTGGCAATTCACAGCATCCTACATGTACATGTATTGGTTGAAGAGGCATGTACATGAATAGTGCGAACCTCCTGTCCATGAGTGTCGTGCCAACAGTACCGGTAGTCGCATCTGCTGGTACCCATACCGTATTTCAGGTTGCTCTGGTCGGTACCCATACCGTATCTCTGGTCGGTACCCATACTGTATTTCTGGTTGCTCTGGTCGGTACCCATACCGTATCTCTGGTCGGTACCCATACTGTGTTTCTGGTTGCTCTGGTCGGTACCCATACCGTATCTCTGGTCGGTACCCATACTGTGTTTCTGGTTGCTCTGGTCGGTACCCATACTGTGTATCTGGTTGCCTCTGCATGTGTTGAAAACTGGCATGGAAGTGTGTCGTTATTTGACAGATCTTTTCAAGTCCTGTAGACATGTCACCTCACATGTCAGAAATCATCCAGTCTCAAGTGCATGTACATTGTATGATCACAAGTTGTTCAGCACTCATGTACAGAGCTTGACATACAAGGACAAGGACATCTTGTTGTCATTGTTCATCCCCAGTTGCTTGTGACGCGCCTTGTCATTGATTTATTTCTTGTGAATGGCTTGTGACTTGCTCATGGGTAATTCCAGAAATTGGGGGTCCAAAAGTGTGACATTTACGTGTCCCTGTTACATCTGACTTTTGTTATTTGACATGGATATACATGTATCACTGAAATTGATTTCAATAATTACTACTGTATTTGTTTGGCAGGCAATTTGCATTAATTCATCACTCTTGGAAATTAGAAAATGTGTTCTGAACTTAAAAAATCGTACGTCAGATGTGACAGGGACACGAAAAAAATGAATCCCTAATTTCGGGAATTGCCGTTACGTAATTCACTCACCACAACTCTAGCTTGAAACAATATATGCTTTGTTTCCAGTTATTTTACTTTTGTGGGCATTGTTAACAGTGTTATTGAGACCATTCACAAGTAACTGGGCGAACAGTGGCAAAGGAATGCTTTCGTTGCATAGGTATATGTACTTCATTTGAATATTGGAACCTGTAGTTTGAAACTTAAATTCTGCCTGGAGGTCTTGTGTTGGTCTTGCGATGGTCTTGTGGAGTCTTAAATTGCTTGGCTTTTGCTCTCTGGAATTCAAAGGCAGTTGGCCTAAATTCACCATCTGTGATTTTTTTGTCTTTCATTCCGTGCAGGATGGCTCCCTTGAGCTGACAGAGACCGGCAAGGCACTGAAAGTCCAGTCCGAGCGGCCTCACCTGGTCAGTCTGGGCGGGAGTCGGGTCAGCACTGCCATCACTTTACTGCCCTTGCCAGAAGGTGAGTTTACTGAGGGGGTGTAGGATATTAATGTCTCCGTCAAGTACTTTGTAGCCACTCAAATTGCTTTACAAGTGATCTTAAAGTCTTCACAAGTGTTTGCAGTTGGAAGGATTCCAGACTCAATGCAAGCCACAAGGTGCACATATTATACGTGTACATGAACAAGAACTGTCACAAAGACATTCCTGTCTTATTGTGCACCAACTTTCAATAGTGAGAGCCCTTGTGACAACGCTTGTGAAGACCATGAACAGACACTGTTGAAGCACTTGTGGGATTCTGACTGCAATAGTGGGAGTTGGTGCCAGAAGGACTGGCTGTGTAGATTCTTGAACATCTTGGAACCGGGCTTGAGCGCTGGTACTTGTTGTATGTTGGGGTACCCCTTGACCGCACGGGAGAGTGTAGCCGGTGGAGAGTGCTTCAAGCGAAGACTGTACACATTTCTACAAAAATTGCCCAGTGGACAGGCATTGTGTCCCTATCAAATTGACATTGTTGCTGTCTGAAAACGCACCAGTCTTGTGTCACTCACATAGGGAATAACTTTAACCAGTTGTGCACATAGACTCCATTGATATCAAACACGGCGTAAACTCCAGACAGACAAACAAAAAAGACCCACATGTACACCTCTTTGGCTAGAGTTCTGTGCTTTCCTCATTAGTCATGTTTTCTTATACGTGGGAAAAACACCATGGACCACTTCACGGTTGTAAATCAATTTTGAATGCATGCACTGTATTTCCTTGCCTCTTGTCAGGCAAGTTTGGCACATGTACATGTACACCGCATCTTTCTTTTTCATATTTCGACTTTGCACAACAACCTCAGGCAGGACATGTATCGGCACCATCGAGTCCAAGACACCGCAGGACATTGTCATCCAAGGCAAGGGTGTCCAAGCTGAACAGTGCTGCATCGAAAACAGGAACAACGTGGTGACGCTGATCCCCATCGGGCCATGCACCGTGGACGGGGAACCGGTCAAGGAACCAACCAAGCTAACCCAAGGTAATACAGATGGTGGGAACATGAGGCGTTAAGTAATAAAGTTGTTTTTACCCTCCAGAATCACAAAATATTGCGGGGTACAAAATCTCATTTCCCATGGGGAAATCATGAACAGTTCCTGTCCATTTCAACATGACTGCTATTTTTACCACGGAAAGGAGATGAAATGCATCTTCCAAGATTTTCTTTCAGTAATTTCCTTTCAACAGCTGGAATTAGAGACCCCAGAAATTAAGACTGTCATTACCTGTAATCCTGCCCAAATCCTAAAAGAAAATGTACTTGTTTTTTTTTCTAGAACGATTTATGAAGGGTTTCAGGTAGGAATGCAGAGCTGAGATGTTTACAGAGGATTCTGAGTTACCTGATTTTTTACGGTCGGTGTTCAATTTACACGGATGTGTGTGGATATCTGCACACCTTCGAAGTCTCTCAACATTGTGGCGTACATGAAATTGCCAATAGAAAAACACGGATTCAAAAATGCACGCACCTCCATGGACATGGTACACTTCCTGAAATGACTTTGCGTCACATGAAAAACCTCTATATGGGACTTGGGTATTTTTTTGATTGGTCAGGGCCTGCACAACAAGTGTTTAGGCAGGGAACCCACAGACATTTAACACATTTGAACCCTTTCAAATCTTGCCTAAAATGTTTCATTGTTTGCTTGATATCTGTGGATTTTGAGTCAATCTTAGGCCCAGCCATGAAGAATGTTTCATTGGACTTCTGCCAAGTGGTACAGTACCTTTCGGTGTACAGAGATAGGGTCTGGTTTTAAGGAATGCCACACTTTTTTTTCTTGACGCCCAGCTTCCCAGCGTGTTCTGGCTTAGGGAAGCATTGTGGCCTGTTGGGATTAACTGTTGTCAGGCACAGATGTCTCCACAAGATTCCACTTAATAGGAAATTTATTGAATGCGTGAACATGCATTTAGAAGCTTTAGTTAATAAGTATTGACAGGCGACGTGTTGAAGCGGTATATGTACCCTAAAATTGTGACGTCACCATGCCACGCACACTGAACCCTAAGTGGCCTTTTGCAATGTACTTTCAACTCATGTGATTCTATCTTTCCATTTGGTTTCCAGATTTTGCTCTCTTGTCCCAGAACGTGACGTCACGTTGCAGCCTCGTAACATTATTTTTAGTCTTGGAAATGTCAGGGAACTCACAAGTGCCTGCAGGTTTTGGTACAATCAGGCACTGCACCTGTATGTTTGTGACTTGCTCTTCTCAAACCCGGCGGATGGTCTTCCTGTATGTCCTGGTTTGAGTCAGTGCGTCATACCTTTTTTTTCCTGATGCGTTGATAAATGTTTGTGCAGCCGTTCATTCCCCTGAAAGCATCATTGGGTAATTTCTTTGTCATTTTGGGGTCACATTACCGGGTAATACCGTGAAATTTCAGTGTTTCAACCTGCAAGATTTTATCATTTAGTTCCTTCCGTTCCAAAACCAATGAATCATTTATATAAAAATATGGCCCAAGTCTCGTAGCTGTACACATTGCTAACGTTGAAAAATGTACATTATACTAAGGTTTTTCATGTGATGAACCGTGACATGACAGGCCAAATCATTTCAGGAAGCGCACCTTGTCTGTGGAGGTGCTTGCATTTTTGAATCAGTGTGTTTCTATTGGCAGTTTCATTTATGCCAGAATGTTGAGAGATTTGGAAGTCGCGCACATTTCTGCGCACATCCGTGTAACTTGAACACTGACTGTCCAAAATCACCAGACTGAAAATCCTGTAAAAGGCTTAGAATACTTCGATTCGGGGAAACAAAACATAATAACAAGTATTTTATTAGCACGAATTATGAAGAAAGTGGCATTGTTTTTTAATAACCCTAAACTGTCAGTTTCTGAAGGAAACCACTTAACATACTCTTATTTTCTGGACACAAAATCGTTTTGTATATAGAGTGAAGTCTTTCTTACATAGGACGTTACATGAAACCATATGCTAAGGAACAATGTTTGTTGAAGTGAGATTCAGAAGTATACAGTATTTCTGTCCCAAGGAAGTGTCTGTCCATGAGGAACTGCGTTATGCAGACGTTGGAAGCTTTTGAACTGCACTCAGAAAATTTGTTGCCCGCATTCTGTTTCAATTATGGCATATTTTAAATCTCAGAACACATGTACCTTTATGTCTACAGGTTTTTTTGTATCAAAACACAAACACTGCTTCCAGTCATTCAACAGGCTTCCCAAGGAGGACTGGGTTCAATGGAAAAACAAAGGTTCCCAATCTGGACATCATTCCTCCCTGTTCTGATGACAAAATACAATGTGGTCGCCAACTAACCAAGTACCAGTCACAGAAAAAATGCACATCATTTTTTTTTGTCAGTGTAAATCCTCCACGGACTTATTAATGGAGTCTCCCGTTTCTGCCTCATCTGAATTCCTCTCCAGACAATTTCCTCGCATCCTGTCTCCTGCTGCAAAACAAGAATTGCTTTTTTAGGGGCGGCGTACATGTTTGCCATTCTCTGCTAATGTCCCCCCTGGGGCAATTCCTTTTGCAACCGATACATCACCAAGAATGCTGCCCACGCAGCATCCGTTTCCAATTTACTTGGAAATGTATAATTTCCCATTGTCGTACCGGTATTTCTGCACATGGGTATTTTTTAACCCGTGCTCTGGAGTATTAATGGTCAGGGACCTGTACAGTACATGTGCATGGAGTGACTGAATCTTTCTCACTATCAGAACTTTAGCTCCAGTTGGGGCATCTCCTGACTGATTTCACAAGGCACGTGTACGAAACATTGATCAGCCCTGCAACTTTTCTCACTTTGGATTGACTTACACTGTACTTCCTTCTTTACTCACTGTACACATGTACCTTTATCTACTGGAAAACACTACAGACTTTCAGGAAGCCCTGAATTTTATTGTTTTCCCCAGGAATTACTTGTCACATGCCCAATTACCGGTACTTTTGATTTAAAACTGATAAGAATACAGAAAGGTGTGGTTCTAAATGACAAGTTCTTGGTTTTTTTGTAAGATTCTGTAAGGAAAGTCGGGGGGTTGGGAGAGGATCCATTTCCATGTGCGATTCTAGTGATGTCACGGTGAGACTTTTGTTTTCCACAGTGGGCCTTTGTGGTTTTGCAAGTCGTTCTGCGCCAGTACCGTCACTGCTCTGAGTGTTGTTTGTCCTCAGAAAAGCAAATGATTCTCTTGGTTGGAAAAGATCCAGCCCATCTGCAATGACCTGGTTTGTGAAAACGTGCATGGGTGTGGTATCCAACTCAGAAATTGAATATTGTGGGCCGAGTGAAAGGATCTTGAGCCTTTTTTTGCTGTGTTTTGAGGCTTTTAATGTAAAGCCCTCCTAATCCTTCGGAATCTACCAAGTGGGTTTGGGAGGATTTTGCAGGATTTAGGAAAACACATGTAGAGCCTTATTATTGTTGCTCGGAAGAATGCTATTGCTTTTGTGCATGCTGGATGAATGAAAGAACTCAGTGAGTTTTCTGAGAAGCAGGTCCTAGGAGTAAAGGGTTGAAAATTGTGTGTGGATCTGTGAGTTTTTGGTAACAGGTTTTAATTTCTTGTTTTGCTGTTCCACAGGTGCCATGCTGTGCTTTGGCAAATCCTGCTTCTTCCGATTCAACAATCCCTCAGAGGCCAAACGGATGAAGGAAAGGTCATCGAGAGGAGATACCACCTCCCAGCAGAACGCACCGACCAGCCAGGACATTATGAATCTTAACCCCACCGATCGCCTTAATGCCAACACAAGGTCGTCGCCAAACGGCCTGACCACCAATGGTTACACACCACCCCGTGTGCAGACTGTCCCCACAGTGCGCTTCAGCAATGCCAACAGCAACCACAATGCCACCACCACCCGCTCCAGCCACCTGGAGCAGACCATTGAGGCCGAGCTGAAGGAGATCATGCGACAGGTGTCCACGGAGGAGGATAACTTCCCGGCCGAGACTTACGGCAACCGTCATGCGCTGCTGGACTCGCCTGAGGACTACCTGAGCCAGCCCCGTGACGTCTTCCCAAGCACCTCGTCCACGGACTCCAGCGGTAGTGAGATGTGGCCCGAGCCCGGCCACCGTGACAGCATCTCACCACTCTTCTTCACCAATCACGGCGACATCCGGGAGACGGCCATCACTGACGACCACATTGACGGTGAGGATGAGACAGCAAATGCAACAAGTGAGTACCAGCCGCCGGTGAGCACCATCAGGTCCAAGTTTGAGGAGGCGATCCGGAAGAACAGTCCAAGCCCAACACGAAAGCACTTCCACATCCATACAAGCCCTCGGAACACTCTGGAGCGAGAACACCAGAAGATGGGACCGCAGTCACCCACAAGGGTGAAGTTGGGACAGAGCAGCTTGTACAGCAATAAAAATTCCCTGACATCCCCGACACGTCGGGCAGATGGGGAACGATCGTCTAGTGATTCCAGTCTTAGCTCTACCTCACTGACAACCGTCACCAGCACCACCACGACAGCTACTACTGACAGAGAGTCAGGCTCGGACAATTCAGGAGCCAGCGTGTCGTCGCTCCTGTCAACATCTGCTAGTGTCGTATCAACAAACTCCACTGTCAGTGCCGAATTGCCTGGCTCAGCGAAATCAGTTGTGAGACGGGAGACCAGACAGGAGTCCTCAAAGACTCCAACACCTTCCAGCAACCCCACCCCAACCGGCCTGGACCAGCAGTTCTTTGCGACGCCCGACGCCGACATCCGCCAGACTCTGATTGTCGACCCGGATGATTTTGATGACCAGACGCAAAAGGAGCTGTGCCGAATCCACATGCAGGCTGTCGCTGAGCGCAAAGAGGCCCAGAAGCTGGCGACGTTGGAGCGACAGCGAATGGAAGAAATCCTTAATATTTGTGCCGAGTACGAGGCACAGGAGTGCGGCGAGAAGCCCAAAATGGCAGCCCCACTCCCCCAAACACAGCCTGCTCCAGAAACCCCAAAAGCCGCAGCAAAGCAATGCCGCGACCAGAGCACCGATAAGCCTCTCATGACTAGCAGTCCAATCAACGATCAACCAACAGTGGCTGCGAGCAGTCCTAAATCAATTGCCTCCGATGTAGGAATCAAAGTCATTGTCGACTCGCCGATTGTCAAGAGCAACACATCAACTCAAGAGACTCCAGTGAAAATGGAGCAGCCAGTCCCAGTGCCGTCACCACTCAGTAATCAGAATGTCTGGTACGAGCGCCTCAAGGATAACAGCAACGAAGCACCCTCTGTGGATTCTGCAGATATGCCAATGATCACAGTGGAACCTGCACCACCACCAAAGCCACCAAGAGCAGTAGGACAGGAGCAGACCTCACGCAGTCCTGAAAACGAGGTAAGTCAGACCATAACCCGAAAAGACCTTGGGGCAAAGTGAGGGCTTGAGGATTCGCACAAAGTCCCCTGAGCGTTTAGGTTTTATTTTTGTCCCAGCATCATTGGCGTACTGTTGCCTTCATCATGCCGAGCATTGTAGCATTCTTCAGAATCTTGGCTTCACCACGTGTTTAGAAAATTTGGTGAAAACGTGCTGTTCTTATGAAAAGTGATATACTGCTTTTCAGGGACTAATCCTGCCGATACTCTCACTCTGTTGGTGGCTTGCATGAACTTCAACATCAGACAAAGTTTAATGTCAAGTCAGAACAGCTTGCAATAACCTTGGCCTACATGCATTATGACCAAATAAGTGTAGTGAGATAACACAAAACAAATGTTTGGAGGTTGTTAACGTACTGATACATCTTTTTACTTCAGCAACTCACTGGGCAAGACATCGTCAAAGCCATCAGCAAGCTGGAGGAGGCCCGCGCAGGCTCCATCCAGAAGATCGAGGACCTGGAGCGCAGACTGGACGACCTGGAAGTACAGGAATCAGAAATGTTAAGAGAGGTGGGGCACAAGACCATCCTTCAGTCATCCTTGGATCATCACGTAGTCCTCACTTTGTTTTCATATCGTCCTCGCATTGTATTAGCATGGTCCTCAGAAAGTCCTCTTAGTGTCCTCAGTGTGCTTTTAATTTTGTTATCCATTTATTTTTGCCGGCACAGTGCTGCAGGTGTGGCGGGTTATTCTGTCTTCCAAGCTGGTGCTTGTTAACCATAACCTTCCCTGATCATTCAAAATTTAGTCACAGCTTTTGGAAATTTTGTAGGATTGACACAGTCACAGCTCAGCTATTATTACTTTTTCATTGCGTTGATCGTCCTTAAAAAGCACATGCACAAAGAAGGTGTCATTGATTTCTTTCTCAGTGGAGGAACTTCTGAAGGGTTGGAAAGGTTTTTTTGCTAAATGCCCAGGGATTGGGGTTGTCAAAGAAGTGTCTTCAGCGTAGCACATGTACATTAGTTGTGGGTAATTATATTGAAGCCAAATGAAACACATGGGAACACATTGCATCAGCGGATGAAAATCAGTACACAGTGAATTCAATGAGAGGCGCACTGTTTCCTGGATGGAGTCCTCTTTAGAGAGTACGGTACACACACATGCACAGCTTTATTCACATTTATGGTTGAAACTTGAGTCATGCACGCTACTGAGTATGGTGCGCTCTGCACAACATTCTCAATTCCTGCTCTGACCCTAAAATGACACTACTTTTTACGCCCAGGCCTGTGGTACAGGTGATTTTGTGACCCAATTCCCTTAACCATCTTGAATTTCCCCCCCCCCCCCGTAAAAGTCCATCTGTTGACCCATTTGGAGCTCAACTTATACATTGCATTTTATTTATTTATCTTTTTCACTGCTAAAAATTTCCTTGCCTAATTTTGGTTGTTATCCTTTTCTCTCTTTTCCTTTTTTTTTTCATTTTTATGTTTTGTGTCCACTGTCTCGTGACTCGTTTTCCTTCCAAAATCCTTCTCATCTTTCTTCTAAACAACGTTTCTTCCATCCCGGTCAACACCGATTTGGTTTTACTGTCCTTTCTGTCCTCCTTTTAATCTCTAACTATTACTACTCGTTCCCTTTGGACAAACTTTATTGTTCTTTTGGGCCGTGGTGTCAATCCTCTTGCATTTGCTTGCTACGCTGCATTGCCTGTTGCACTGAAATTTGCACAACTACCGGTATTTACATTTCTCCACCTCACTTTTACATCTTTCCACATTTAATATTCTTGACATGATCTGTTTCCCCAAAATATTAATCACACACTTACAACTTTAAAACATCTCACTGGTTCATAACTTTGGGTTATTTCCGTTTTCACGGACCCAACATAAAACCATCTAATCGCATGATCGCACAAATCCACTGACCCACAATGCACCAAAACATACTTGCCTGCCCATCCTATTAACTGCCACTGTTACCCGGATGTTACAATCCGTATCCTGTACGACTCTTCGTTCCCCCCCCCCGGTCACGTGACCTTCCTCTGATCCTCACATGGTCATTGCGTGGCCATTGCACGTCTTGTCTCTTGGTCACCACATGATCGTCACATGACCCAGATGGAGATAGAGGCTGCGCTCTTGGAGGGCGAACACCGCAGCGAGCTGACACAGTTGCAGCAGGAGCAGGAACTGTTGGGCACGCTCAAACGCACCAAGCACAGTATTACCAGAAAGGCCATAGAGCAACGTGAAAGGGTCCGTTCTTGATTAGGAGTGACAGTCCCTCGTCCACTACACCCTGCTGATCCCTCATCAAAATGACAGAAAAAGTGTAACCCACAATCCCTGCTGTTTATTTTAGACTTATGTGCCGCATATGTCTACCTCCTCCCCCACAAAATTAAACTCAAACTTTTACTCTGATGAAATGAAATAAATTTTAACACATTGATACCGTTTCCCTAGTTTAATGCAGAAATACATGTACAAATATACATGTGTATTGTCCCGGACAGATGTAAAAATTTAAACTCCTAGAGAGATGCGAAACTATTTCCATTGGTACAGTACATGTATTTTCTCCTGGTAGAGTATTTTCTCCTAGACGGATAGTGAGCATAAATATTGCTGAATTCAGCCTCTTAAACCTAAACCATGATGAGATGCATTCCCTGTGGTCAGATGGATTATTATCCTGCATATACTCAAGTCTTGAGTCGGATATCTTCTGGTTTTTTTTGTGTTTTGTATCATAGGAAGTCATCCCTGCCCCTAAATTCCCCGTCCTAAGAGAAAACCCACAAAAATCACTGTCCAGATGTCAGAAAAGAAAGTCTTTATCTGTACATGTACCTTTGTATATTTCCCCGTGTTTTTATCATAAATTCTCTTCCGAGAAGTAAATAAGAGATCCTGTAAATTTGCTGGACATTGTAGGAGCGCCTGCAGGTGGACCAGGCCCGCAGCCGCCTACAGCAGCTGGAGCAGGCCCACCTGGAAACGGAACGGCAGCTGGAGGCCTGCCCCATTGGTGACACGGCCCGCAAGCAGGCCCTGCTGTTCCAATACCAGCGGGAGGCTGAGGGGCTGGAGCAGGAGCGCAAGCGCTTTGAGGACCTTGAGTTCCAGCAGCTGGAGACAGAGGCCAGGATTGAGGAGGAGCGGGAGATCCTGGAGCAGGAGCTGACAGCCGAGGAGACCAAGGAGGAAGAGAAGGTCAAGACCAGAAAGGTCTGTCAGTCTGCTGAGTGACGCTGCAATGTCTGCAGATTTCCATCAAGCATCAATAAAATACGACAGGCACCAATAGTTTTTAGACAGGTCTTTTTGTTTTCAAACACGCTTACTTTCCCAAAGGAACGATGTGAAGAAAACACTCATCAATTTCACAAGATTTTTGTGTCATCAATGTGCTGCTTCATGTAAGATTCCTCTTCAAGATGGGGATTCTGAGAAGAAACAGCATGGGGAACACTTGCACATACATGTACATACGAGTTCATGCAGGGTGCCATACCAAATTTTCGTCAGAATGCGCACAAGACCACATTTTTAAATGGTATTCAGATGGGAGCCAATTTCACAGGGGTACTAAGCATACAAAATTTGCTAAAACAGAATATTTGCTAAATAAAAACAGGTTAGTAGTCAGTATGCCATGCTTCTTTATGGGTAGATGTTTTGCTTGCTGCTGGGTCTCGCCTAGTTCTTGCTTAATACATACATTACATGTACATGTAGCTAAGCAGTTTTAAAACTTACATGTAACAGGTCTGTGAAATTGGTCCCACATGTCTTTCATGTTTCGTTATGACTGTTGATAGAGGTGCTTGTGTGCTGAATTCACATGTAAAGCAGTACTTTAATTGAGAATTTCACAAAGATGACAGCCTCAAAGGTAGTGAAAAGTCTTCAGACATTGAGTACTGGTACCATCAGTCAAAATTTTTTTTTTGCGTGAACTGTAGCAACGTCGTTTCCTTGTTGTCCACCCACTGCTAAGGCCGGTTTATTCTTGTGGCGAAAGCAAAGCAAACTTGTTGTCACAAAAATATTTAGCAAAATTCACTGGGGTTAAAATGTGATCCACTTTTGCGAATTCACGGCACCAGTATTTGTTGAGATTTCACACTTTTGCATACATGTACATGTATGTGTTTTCTTATGCGCCAAGAATGAACTGGCCTTTAATCTCAAAAATACTTGTGACTGGTATGGAAGTTTTGACAAGAAGTGACAAGTACTTGTGAAGCGCTCCATTTATACGAAGTTTATGACAAGTTGTTGAAGTAATCTGTCGTCAGTTGGTCTTGTGAGGTTGCCCGTGAAGGGCTTTGTTGCTTGTGAGGAATCATTAATCACAAAGTGCCAACTTGTGACCACCCTATGTCCAGGTGAATGTCACCGACATTGACCAGCAGATGACCCATGTCATCAGCGACGCCAAGGTGAAGGCTGAGAGATTGGAACATGACCGGAAGAGTACGGAGCAGGAGCTGACCAAGGTATGGCAGACATGCTTGTGCCCCGCCCTCCTCCACTACTGGACCATGCTCATAACCAGTGGGAGACTTTTGAGACACTTGGTGGCAGCAAACACACCAGTCCCACATGACTGGTCTGTTAGTCTTTGTGTCATTGAGAGCAGGTTTTAGGACGAGAACCAGTGTGTGAACCAACATGAATGCCTACTCCAATCGTTTGCACTATGGGCCTGCTTTTTCGTACGGATCTGGACTGTGATCAGTGATCCTGGAGCTGGTTCCTGCTATCCAGTAGGCAGGTCAATGAACCAACGACAGATCACTGATCCGGATCCACATGAAGCAAACAGGCCCTATGATGCCCGGTTCAAATGACATCATTCTTCAAATTTTACTGCATATCGCCCTAGCCTGATTATAAATGTGGACAGTTGACTGGCCACTTTGTCAATCCTGCTTGCGTTCAAAATGGAGCATTTTCACATTGGGAGGCCATCCTCGTGCCGAGTGAAATTATACACCTGCATCGCTATTAAACAAAGAGGTTTAACCAACTTGGTGTTGTGAACATATTCCTGCCATAGTATTGTTTTGTTTTCTGTCCTGCTAGGAGAAGGAGCGATTGGCTAGCATTGAGAAGGAATATAACGGCTTGGTGATGTACTACTCCAGGAAGTCGACGGGAGAACAGGAGGAGACGTCGGAACTGGTAAGAATGCAATAATGTGTAAAGGAAACTTTTCACTCTTCTTTTAACAGTGGCTGTAGTCATGGTAACTGTAGTGTGGCTTCTCATTTCTATAGTTACATGTTTGGCATTGTACAGTGAGCATTGCCGTTCTATACAATGTTGCAGATCCTGCAGTAGGTCATTGACCGTACACTGCTCAGAAAGTCCAGGGACCGTGCCTCATGGCTTTAGTCTCACGATAATTGCCTTTTTCCTGTAATCTTATTTTTTTTATTCTTTTGGTAATTTTTTCCAGTCCAAACCTAACTTGACTTTCGGTTCTTTTGGTTATTCATACCCTGGAGGATTTGTTAAGGAAATCAAGTCTGAGATCCATTCATTTCAGACTGGTCTAGGTCCTGTTTTCAATGCTACGGTCTGGTGCAATAGAAGTAGACAGCAACCAGGCTAGAATGCCGTAATGATATAGTCGCTTCCTATTATTATAAAGCTTTCATTGCATTGTGTGTGCTCTTGTATGTATTTGCTCAGTTGATTTCTGCACATCATAGGTCTTGTGGCCTTGATACATGGCGGATCAACAGTTGATAATAAGAGAGTTACCGGTAGAAATGCAAATTTTCTCAGATCATCTGATTCCCTTCATGTTTTCTTCACATGTTTGCCATTGGAGCTTGAAAATGTGCTGAACAGAATCGTAAGAGAGTTTGGAGTTTCCCCTGTTTGTTCTGAATTCCCAGACCCATGCCAGCTCTTTTCCTGTCGAATTTAATTTCACCGTCTTTTCTCATTCGTTACCTCTTATGTACACTGTTACAATTTAACAAACATTACACAAAGATTGCCCAGACTGTCCAAGTTCTTTTCTGAATTCCATGGTGCATGCCTTCACTGGCATCTTCAGGTGCAATGCAACTCTCTTTGTCAGCTCTTGTGTACTGTACTCCGTTAACCACTTCGTGCTGGGGTTCCCGGTACCGGAGACCTTAGGTTTATATGCAAAGCCGGGGTGTCCGAAATCGGACCAAGGAGCAGGGCCTTGAAACAAGAGACTGTACTCGGAACAAAAGACTGAGCTGCTGGGAATTTTTCAGTTGTCAATGGCGGAGGTAATCCACTATTGTTTTGAAACAGTATACCAGCATTTGTGGTATTCAGTGCGAGTGGATTACGATAGGGGACAAAAGCGCTCCAGTGCTCCAGCGATGAGCGATACAATACCGCTGCACACTAATTTTGAAAAGCATGCTACTGCTGCTGCACGCTAATTTTGATTTTTTAAATTTGAAAAGACACCAGCAGCGCACTGGGCCAATTTCAGGAGCAAAAGAAAATTACGTCACACCGCACAATCTGTGCCCTCTTTACAAGGCAGCAGGGCAGGTCTGCATGAAATACTCGGGCATCAATACATGTTGCCTGTCAGATTAGAGTAGCCACCAGACAGTCATTTGTGTAGGTACAAACATCCATGAAGTTATGAAGTTTGGTAGAATTTTGAAAATGGAAAGTCTTGAAAATCCCCCGGGAATTTGTCATGCAACTTCAATTTAGACCAGGCAGCATATGGTAAAAGACACTTTTTAATGTCCTTTTGAGGTTCAGAACTTGGTCCCTTTGTGCCAGATTCCCAGCATGCAACCAGAGCTCTTTCCTTGTCTGTTTTTGATCTCTGATTAAGCTTCAGCCTCTTTTAGGGAATTCCAAGTTGCATGCCTGCTCAGCTCTCTTCGTTTCTAGTTTCAATCGTTGAGTGTTCTTTTCTATGGTAGAAGAAATAATTAGAACTCATCCAAATTCATTTATGTAGACCAAAGTCACGAGTGACTTGGAAGGACTTGGCCTTTTTTCCTGAATTCCCATCTGCATGCCTTAAGTACTGTCTCTCTAGTTTCAACCCTCGTTGAGAATAAACAACCAATGGTTGTTCATTTTCCAAGCATTGGCCTGCATGTACATGCCTAGAGTCCCTGGTGGTTTGGAAGAACATCTGACTTTCTTTCCTAATTTCCCAGTTGCACATCTGAAGAGGTCTGTCTTGTCCCTAGGTAGTTTCAATCCCTTGTTCCTTCTGCACCCTGTGAAGAAGATCCCAGAGTTGGCCAAGCGACAGAAGTTTTGTGTGGTTTGCCAGAACTTCCACCTTCTCCCCTGAATTCCTACATGTAGTTGCATGGCTAATGAACTCTTATCATATCTAGTTTTAACACTTTAGTGTTCAGTTTCGAACCCGTAAGAAAATACTTGGGTTGTCAGCGCTGGGCAGTTGGAACAGCTTCCACCTTGTCCCCTGAATTCCTAGTTGCATGCGTTGAGAACTCTTGTCATATCTAGTTTCAGCCCCTGATTGTTCTTTTGTCCACCACAGAGGAAGATCAGGGAGCTGGCCGAGCGCCGGTTGCGCCTGCAGCCCGAGATGTCACTCAGTGACGAGTTCCTGGCCAAGCGCAAGTACAACTCGCTGCCCCGGGAGGCCAAGGGGGAGGGCAAGGCCCCGCCCAGCGACGCCTCCCCCAGCCCCTCCCAGGTCTCCCCAGCCTCCTCCCACAGCAGCCTGCCCAGGAAGGGGGACACCCTGGGGGACATTGAGCGACACCGACGGATGACCCTGGAGGAGAAAGGTAGGGTGGATGAAAGCAAAAATGGGATGAGAGTCAAACCTCTCTGATTTACATTTGATGCACGATACAAAAATGGACGCACCCTCTATTGTGTCCTGTGTATGGAATTGTGTAAGCCTAGGTGTGAAAAAGAAGAAGTATTGAAAGCATTGAGTTATTTGTTTTCTTTTTTTTTCCTGATCACTGAAGGAGACCAGCTCATTGAGGAGGAACGAAACCGTCTGGAACTGTTGTGTCGCCAAGCCACCAAGGAGGCCAAGCTCCAGTGGGAGGAGAAGAAGCAACGGGAGCAGCAACAACTGCTGGCGCCTGGCTCCCCACGAGCCACCGCCGCCAAGGGCATTAACTTCAGCCCCAGCAGCTCGCTGTACAGCACGCCACGCCAGTCGGCTGGCTCAGCGACGCACCCTAGCAGCGTCGATTCACTGGGTGCTGCAGCAGCGGCGGTCACGGCGGTCTCGAGCAGTGACTGCGCCAGCGTCTCCAGCTTCGAGAGCATCGAGGGACACCTGGAAACCTCTGGCGTGTACTCGGGGAACTCCACTCCTTCCAGAACCTTCAGTACAGGGTGAGCCTTATTTTTTACCCGTCCAACTGGTATGGGCTGGTCCCTTTACACTGCTGTGTTTGAAACTGATTCTTGTGTATGAGTGTTAGAATTCTATGAAAACAGGCAGTTCCCCCATTCAACAACGGGCAACATTACTGTGTATTAACGTTTGCCTACTGGGTAAAAACCCACTGGCATCTAGATACCAGACACCTTAATCCATTCTTGTTAGTCAAGAGTCTGTGTGCATCACAGAACGCAGAATTCGCCACATGTGCACCAAGTCCATATAAGGAGATTCTCCTGGACCACTTGCACAAGGAATATACCATAAAGTGGATGGGGGTGTTTGGGAAAATGAAAGTAAAATTCTTTACCAAAATCCTTTGAAATATATCGTACATGTATACTGACTTCTTTTTGCTTCTCTGACTTACACAATATTTATGAATGAAAATAAATGTGTGTTTGGTCAGTCTTGCGGTGACAACATCAGTCACGTCCATTCTCCTGAACACACCTTAAAACCAGCCAAACTCATATTTATGCCCGTAGTCATAATTTCATGTAAACTCCAGGAAAGTGTTTAACCCCTTCATGCTGGGATTCTTTTGACCGTGACTGCTGGGCTGTGGTATGCCCAGTATGCAAAGCTCTGTCCAGCAGCAGGCCCCATTGAACCAGCAGCTGCATGGTGAATAGACTGTATGTATGGTATGCACTAATCCTCACACAAAGCCACGGCTGTGGACAGCTCCCAGTATGAAGGGGTTGAAACAAGTTGGTATTTGTTTCACCTTTAAAAAAACATCCTTGTGATGGGCTTCCAACTGATAGGAAGGGGTAAGCCGTCTGAGGTGTTTATGAATGTCTTAAAACAGGTCCCATCTTTTCTTGTACCCAGGCCCAGCTTCACCAAGGAGGAGCGGGAGAAGCTGGCCGAGATGGAGCGCCTCCTCAGGGAGGCCCAGGCAGAGAAGCAGGCCCTCCTCAACCAGCAGGTACCCACAAAACCACGCCCACAAACCCAACCCCTCGTGAGTTGATTCAATCCCCTCCTTTGGAAGGGGTGTTTTTCCTCCTTTTTCGCTGTTTGCCGGGTGATTGCACCGCAAAGACCAGAATGCTACCATCGCATTGCTGTGTCACGCTCCTGCAAGAAAGAAGGCTTGTACATGTAGTTTGCTGTAGAGCTCCTGAAATACCAGTGTGTGATCTTTCTGCTTGAATTTGGATCTTATGAAAGAACATTATATTTTCTTAAGGATTACGTAATCATCTCCACCGATACAAACCACAATGATTTACCATTTCACAATGATCTGAAGTTGGATTATCCTCAACTGTCTCCAGCAGAAAAATCACATCAAAAGGTTTCTGAGGAGAGTAGGCCACAACGTTTCTGGTCATGTAAATGGTGTTTTTTCATATATTCCACAAATTCATCATTGAAGCAGAACAGCTCAACTTGCTCTCAGGGCCCAATTTCACGGAGCTGCTTAACAGTTGGCAGGAAAGTTGTGCTAATTTCAGCAGAAAATATCCTAGCCTTAGGCTCTATTTCATGGCAATGCTAGGCGTAGTTGTGCTAATAGTTGTGCACACATAGATATTTCTATCCTCATGCCACAAACTTTAAGCAAGTTTTTCCTCCAAGGTTAGCATATCTTGGGCTGTGCTTACTGTCTCCATGAAATACGCTGAGCCTTTGTAAGTGTGAAATGGTGTGCTAAGCAGCACCATGGAATTGGGCCCAGGTGTGATCAAATTCGCTCCTTTTGTTTGAAATTTCTTATGAAAAGAAAGCAGGTGATGATGTTTGATGATGACCAAAAGATATCAGACGGAGTTAGTTAGAAGGTGTAAAAAGCTTTTGCGGGTTCCAAACGAACGTTCAAAAGGAATAGTTTGGGATATTTCTTGGCACTTTTTTATCCAGAACACTACAGATTTTTGGCAGGGAAATATCAGGTGTGATCGTATCAGAATTCTGACATGCGCTTTTATGGTTGCTTCTGTTTAATAGCGCAAGCACATACATGTAGGTTGTAGTAGAACTTTCACATTGTATGGCCTGGGTGCTTGCTTTGCTGTAGATAACGCTAATCCTCCAGCCTACTTGGGCTAGAAGCCCTGCCAGACATCAGTCTGCATCATATGTCAAAGAGGCTTGCCTGGCCAGTGTAACACGATCCAACAGGTCAACTCCCGCCCAAGGCCAAGCAGCCCAGGAGTCTGTGGTTGCCAGTCACCACAAGATCCAACAGTGGCATTGTTCAATGGGACTAGCTCTCATAGTCTCAACGTGGCCAGTTTGTTTAGCTGATGTTGATTGCCCAGTACTTCAAAGTGTGTTAGGGTTTTTCACCCGAGGCACTGTGCTGTGTCTGGCAGGGGAGGGTTCAGGGAGTTCAAGAATAGGCCTCTATCATGGGACATCTTGCTTGTTGACCATTCGAAGCATTGTGACCAAACTGAGGGTGGAAAGAAAAAATACATGTAGTTTGTTCCCCTCATCGATGCGTGATGCTGTTAGGCTATTTGCATGGGGTCTACAGGGGACAAGACAAACATGGCAGCATTGTGATAATGGTCTCTTGTGTGTTGAGAAAGATGAACGCTGAATGAATGTGATTGACTCCAACAAAATGAGCCATGGCAACACAGTCGTTAATTGTTACTTTCTCATTTGAATTAGAGCCTACTCAACTCCTCAATTTTATATATCACTCCAGTGTGACATTCTGGTGAATATATACTGGTACATGCTGCACACTTGTTCTGTTACTTTTCATTATGCCAAAATGGAAGGCCTCACTACAATGAAGCGCTTGAAGCTTTTGATTCCTTCTTGGACATGGTCAAAAATACTCTTCTGCTGGGAAACTTTCCAAAATGCAGCAGCATGGTGATGGCTTTAGGGTAGTGTTAGGAGAACAAAGCACAGAGTTCACCAGTTCACGGAAATCTTATTTTTGTGCCCCTGCAGACAAGGTCGAAGGGGCGTACCATTCCCACCTTTTTTCCTCCTGGTTCAAGGTTGTCCTTGATTTTTTCGCAGAGCTGTAGGGACTTTTAATGGGCATTTTTTAGACACATTATGTTCATGTCTCCCACTCCTGGGGGTATTTTTCTGGCCTCAAAGAAATGAAAATTGTCATTTGTCTGGTTAGCCAGATTGTAATCTGTGAACTGTTGTTCTTGTTTGGCTCGTAATTGAACCGTTTCCCCTTTTCACATGCATTTTTAGAATCGCTTGAGACAAGCAGAGGAACAGCTCCTGAGGGAGGAACAGCGCAAGAGGGAAGACCTGGAACACCAGCTGAGGGAGGAGACACTCCGACGGGAAGAGCTGGTGCAGAACCAAGTCCGGCTGAGGGAGAAGCAGAGGAGTGCCCAGGTGAGTTTGTCACACGGAGAGGGAGGGGCTACAAGACTGGAAAGCCACGAGCAATTTAAAAAAACAGCAAGCAGAAAATGCTCTTTTTTTTTTAATCCTAATCACCCCAAATCCATCAAAATCTGTTTCCACTCTTTGTGGGTTTATGATTGACTTGGTGTAGAAGGCCTGAGGGGACCAAGCATTGATAGATTGTGATGGACTGAGTCTGGGATGCCTGAAGCACTGCTGGGGTATTCCATGCGCGTTGTCATGGCAACAGTAGTGATGACGTCATGTAAGCCATGTGTAATAAGACCATCAAACAAGACCATCACGCCACTGGTGGACTTCTTATCTAGAAATTTGGATCGTACAGGGAGTGTTGGATTTTGATGGATTTGGTCCAGTGCCTAGTAAAAGATGTGAGCAAGTTACATGTAGTTAACCCTCCTTTGGTTTTACAGCACAAATATGCACAAGTGCCCAAGGTCACTCTCTTGCATGTTGGTGCAGTGCACAACGCAACACAGCTGTGCTTTGAGGTGTTTACCAAGTGACCCAAAGAGTGACTTCAGCATAGGAGGGTTAAACAGTCTATGATCCGGAATTGGAATAGTGGTTTATTTGTGCATGCCGACTTGGCCAGTCCGTGTGCACTGGAGCGCCCAACAATTTAATGAGCTGGCATTGGGGAAAATTGACAATTTTTACCAAATCAACATGTGTGCCTAGGAATGTTTTGCCCCAGCTATCATGCATCAAAATTATGTTGGCTAAAAAATCTTATGCATGTTTTGACCGGCTGTCATCTCTGAACCATCCAATCATTGACGTCAGGAGTTCCAAAGTTAGATTATAGCATAATAGCTGACCATTATTGAACATGACGTTCCGATCGCAGTTTGGCCAGGCTCTCTGGTACACACAGGTCTTTGAATCAGCCATTCTGATCCCGGACTTTCCAGTTGACATTGATATTTAAATGACCTGACCTATATTTGGGCCGGGCGTTCTGATTGTGGAATGAACGGAATAATCATGTTGGTAGATTAACATGCACCATTCTTGCCACGTTCGGTCGTCGTTGCTGGTGAGCCCCCTAAAATAGCATGGATGTTCAAAATGATACCTTGTTTTGCTTCTGTGATTTTTTTTTCTCCAGTCGAGACCTCTGACCAGGTTTCTCCCCATCAGTAGCCTGGACTTTGACCTGAGGGCACACATCGAGAACGCTGGACATAACGTGGATATGTGCAAGGAGGTACGTCACCGAAATGCAGGCCTCGTGGGTGGGTGGTGTTGTGAAGGCGTAGCGGGTAGGGTTTGTGACTACCGATATGGTGTCAGCAGGGTGGAATCCAGTGATTGAGTGAATGTTATCACCTTGTGTCAGCCACTTCAGCCCCACTTGCCTCTCTCCGCCTAGGAGTAAAAATGGGTACCTGACAGGGCAGAGATGGTTGGTGTGGTTGATAAGCCATGTAGGGGTTAAAATAGCTACACCAAGCTGTATCCAATCCGAGTGAAATAAAAGAGGGCGTGTTAAGAGTTCTATTTTTACCCACAATCAACTTATCCAGAGTTGGACGGTAAAAAAATTGAAATTTGCCCTATTTATTTTTCAAAACAAAACAAAAGATGACAATTTCTTTGCGAAAACTGCATTATTCAGAATGGGTGGGTTTGTAATCCTACCAGTAAAAAGATACTGGCTCCTTATTCTCCAAATGGAGGTGTGAATACCAGATAAATCCCTGGACGTACTCCTGAATGGTGTTGTCTTGTTTGTTCCCCATGGCTTGACCCATAGATAACCTTGTCCAGAGGCACCTGCCGTGGCTACATGATCAAGATGGGCGGCCGCATCAAGACGTGGCGGCGGCGCTGGTTCGTCTTCAACCGTCTCAAGCGCTCGTTCCTCTACTTCTCCTCGGACCGGGATGAATCGCGGCCCAAGGGCGGCATGTACTTCCAGGCCATCCAGGACGTCTACTTTGACCATCTGCGGCCCCACAAGAGCCCCAACCCGGTGCTGACCTTCTGCATCAAGACCAAGGAGCGGACCTTCTTCCTGGTAGCACCCACAGCCGAGGCCATGCGCATCTGGATGGACGTGATCGTGACGGGCGCAGAGGGTTACAAGGAGTTCCAGTGAGGTCAGGGGCTATGGCTGAAAAGATACACCTATGGGAAATGCACATAGCCACTAGTTTGTGGCTTCCATAGACATGCATATTGACACCAGACGCAGCCACGTAATGTGGACATGTTTAGAGTTTTAGTTCTAGGGCAGAGGTGACGAACTGTTCCCTCCCCCCACAAACCCGTAGTTCCTGCTTGCACTCTCTGCACGAAAAAGAGAAGGCGTTTTGTTACCTGGGAACAAATTTGAACCTAGGTGACAGCACTTGCCAATGCCACTGGCTAATATTTGCGCACCACTCTTGGTTGGACACATGGCCGTCCTAATTGTAATACACTATGGGAGGCAAGTAGACTGGTCCCAGTCTGTTCATTGTCATTCCACGTGCAGCTTGTTGCAGAGGCAGGAGCCAGGCGGTCGGCCCAGCCTTTCTCTTTTTTTTTATGATGAGGGATACTTTTGATCGGATCCCAAAAGTGCAAGAACTTCATGATAGGACATAACCTGCATTCTACCAGAATGCCTAGCCAGGCTTTAATGACCTTTGACCGTAAAGTGCATTGAACCCTGAACCTGATTTGAGATGATAGGTTGTCATTTCTTTGTGGATTTTTCCCCCCAGATTTTGGACAATTGAATGTGGTGTTTGGAATGTTTTTGTTGAGGAAAAATTTTGTGTGTTCTGATGACTTTAACCTTTGACTGATCAGAGCATGTGTAAAAATCAAAGTTTTCACGGTTTGGTGCAAAAGGAACAAACTTTCTTTGCTGCGCCAAGCTTATTTCACTGTAAGAAAGCTGAGTTTTCCGTCGTAAAGAGACACGACATTTTAATGACAAAATAGGCAAGCTGAATGTATAAATATTTTACCAAACTGTACAGAGTACACTAACATGGTGCCTGTGTGACTTGAGTTTTCTGCCGCCAAGCTGTGAAGTTTTAACAAATGTCCATCATTTTAAACAGCAAAGAAAAAACTGCCTGGTGTGGTAATTTGTAAAAGATGTAAAAAACTTCAAATATCAATTGTTAAAAATTACAATGCTCTCAAGTTGGGAGATGGAATGCTTGATAACTACACTGGGCCAACATCTTGAATGGTCTCTTGTAGGAAGGGAACTTGCTCTCTGTCTGTATGGATGAAAACTTCCAGGTGTTTGTTTAAATTTGGGCTAATTCAGATGCACAGTACATTTTAGAATTGAACAGGATCTCTTTCCATCGGTGACTGCACATTTGATCCGGTAGGTTGAGGATGGTGGGAGGATAAGTTTCGGCCACGCCTCCAGTTTACCCCCTCGTGTGAATGGACCGTACCCATGTCTGGGGGCAAACTTTCAATTGTGGAATATTTGTATTCAATGCAACTGTAACATACAAAACACATTTTCTGTATTAATGCAATCTGTTGAAGAAGTGTACTCATTAATTTAATATAAAAGCTTGATACTTGATAAGAGTTACGTGTACTTAAAAGTGGCTGGACGGTGGGTTTCTGACGCCAGTCACGAGGCCATGTCCAAAAAGGGTATTATCGGCTATGGCTATTTCTACATGGCAGGTTAATGGCCATCACTAAAGCCATAGCCACAAGATACGTCATTCAGACATAGCCTTGTTGTCCCTATAGTCCCTGCCCTATTTTGTAGCACACTACAACATACCACTTCTGGTTTGTCTCTAACATGTATTAGATGAGAGAATCAAAGCATTAACCTAGTCATGTCAGTTTACCTCAGCTAATAAGCAGTTTCTGGTGCTACACACGGTAGTACCACCACCCTGGTCTTACGTGTACTAGTGATTCCTAGTGGATTCGTATCCTAGTCCTTGGAAGTAATGTGCCGTCCTTGAATGATCGAACTAGCCAACTGTACTGACAAAAGGAAATCCTCAAGCACTGCTGTGGGGGTGCTCCACAACAGTTGAAGTCTCGGGCCAAATAAGGCCGGGTCCAAATTACTTGGCTATGGCTTGAAATTACACATGACTCTATGGAAACTGGCTTCGGCCTCCACCATAGACTCTTGCATAATTTTAGGCCACAGCCAAGTAATTCGGACACGGCCTATGACTACTATTAAAAGAGTACTTAGAAACGGTTAACTACTTTAATAGCACCATACTGTCCTACATGTAGTTGGACTGTGCCTTGTAATTTCCGAGTGTTTTTCAAACACTTGTGGTATTTATGACGTCATGTTTCCAAAGACACAGAATCCATATCCCAAGGTCACTGCAGTACGAATCAAACTGTGAAATCGGACACCTTTTTGTTATCAAGAGATCAAGTGACATCGCTGGCCGTAATGGATTTTGAATAATAAAGTACAATAGAAGGGCTTTACATTATGTCATTGCTGTCAAGTCGACGTTTATGTAAACATGAAAACAAGTACATAAAAAACTAAATCTACATTTTACTGTAAAACCAAATATTAGACTTGTGCAGTCTTCCCACCTTTTTTCTATATTGTTAAATATTAAACTTTGAATACTGACAACTTTTACTAAAATGTAAAAACAATAAATAGTACCATGCATACCAAGTATATTTGAAACTATGCAGGTTTATTTATCAATACGTTGGTATAGGTTTATTTATTAATTGGTAGCTGGCTAATTTGTACATTTTAGGAGAAAGATTTTAAGTTTGGTAGGTTCATGTAGGTTTAGGACTATTTATCTGTTGGAAAACGTTTGGTCATAGGTGAGTATCCAGTCACAAAGAGTCTGATCTCGCTCTACAAAAAAATGCAGGTCATACTTGATAACCGGGGAACTCTACGTTGTTACAAGTTGTGACATATTGTGATATTCAGATTCAAAGGAAATTTGCTGTTGTGTTTATAGCATTTCACGGGACGTTATAGGTCAGTTCATAACTGCCATGAAAGCAAACATAAATTGGTGTTGTGAAATCATATATACATGTTGCATATTCGCAGAAGTGGAGAACATTTCCACTCAAGCGAAATTTTGCAGCAACTTTTGATCAGAATGTCCAATTCACCTCACTTTCACATTTTGTATGAAGTATGAACTAGCCTTAACAGCGACTGCATTTCCTGCATTTAGGCCAAATCAAGAGCTGTAAGGTTTTAGGATGACTCAACGAGTGCTGAATTGCCGAAAGGGCAAGTTATACTGTACCTGATTGTGACGCGTGGGTATTTGAATCAAATCACAGCTTTTATAATAAGCCTTTTGCGAGTTAAATTTAAATAAAATCTGGTACACCATTAAAGTTATCTGATTGTAAAGAAATATAATTTAAATTCCCCAGACTAACGGCACTGTTACTATCCATTGAAATCATTGTATTGTTGTGAGGCGTGACTTGTGTAAACTAAGCAAAAGCTTGCCCCAAAGAACGAGGTAAAGTAACAGTGTCTATAGTCTGGGGAATTCAAATTTTTTTGTGTGTGAATTTAAAGAACTCAGTCTTCCAGATTTTATTCAAATTTAACTTGCAAAAGGCCCATTGCTAAAATGCAGTTGACTACAACCCCAGCAATTTAGAAGTGTCACTTGCATGTATATACCTGTATATGCCTTGCTTGTAATTTCAAGTGGGTGTCTTGAGGCTTCCACTGAGGCAAAGGCACTCAACTTAACCCAAGATGTGTGGTGTGACCCCCATTGTCTCGAAGTCCTGGGGAGTGAAATGTACTTCAATCCAAAGTCTAGGGTGCAAGTCTGAGGAAAATTTTGAAGGTGTCAGTTGGAATAAGTACTTAAATCTGAGCTGACTGTTCTGGCATGGATCGGTTCCTGGCTCACGAGTTCTGCAGTCCAATGTTTCTTGATGGCGTGAGACATTGAAACCCTCATAAGTTTAATTGTATGAGCGAATGTAGATTCTCAACTTCATCTCAAAACAATCTGACTTCAAGCCAGGCACCACACCGGGAGAATAGTGGAGACATTCAATGACAGCAAATTTAGTATTGCGTAGCACTTGTACTTTGGTTTCTGACAAATGAATTAGACCAATAAAGTATTCACAGACAACTGAACAGCAGTTCCCGCCAATTCTTGTGTTATCAAAACACTGGTGGTTTTTAGCACAAGTTGGAAATGAGTTCCTCGAACTGATTTCACAGTCGTAGAATGCTTACCAAGATGGCATTGCTGCTCACCAGTTAGAGAACACAGGTCACTAGTGTAAGTGTATATTTAATTCCATTAGCCATAGACATTAATTTACCATTTTTTTAAAGAACTTGTCTAGTTTCCATAATTTAAAAATTACCTGTATTATACATAACACATGGACGGTACCAATAAAATATCACTCTGATATTAACAAAATGGACTTGTATTATGTATTTGTGATGAATACAATGGAACTCTCAGGGTTAGGATTATTGACTGCTCTGAGGGTACTTTACTTCATAAGAGTCTTGTCCGGGCTCTGTAGCAACCAACTGCTTGGACAGTGGTGCAGTTGAGTTGAGTACTTTTGTGTTGCTGATGACCTTTCATGTCCCGTCAGGATGCTTCATGTAGCTCCGTCTGTTGAAACAATAAAATTTAGTATGGCGTTTTAATATAACAAGTCAGAGTTAATTAAGATTTAGTAATTTTCAGAATTCAAACCAGAAACAAAGAGTCACGGTAGACTGGAAATACTGCTCGAGAAGCCTCACCATCCACGTCCCTAAACCATGGAGGAATCTTTGAAAATTGGCATTTGTTGTTTCGGCGCACCAATTTTATAAATCTGTGGCAATTTGTGATTATGTTGGAGCACCCTGTTGGTAGGTCAAGAGGTTGGGGGTTAAAAGTACTTGAGTCTGGTTGAAAG